AGGAGTCTTCGTGTGATGTCAATAACAATTCCGATGTTTGCCTCAGTCATCCGTTTTCAAAATTCCCTACCTTTTCCAGCCTGACTTTGTTTCACCGACAAAAATCAAATTTCCCTGACCAAATAATTACACTGAATGTCACGGTAGAAGCGTCAAGCCTTCCTTATATCCCTACTTTCCCGCCATTTATTTAACATTGATATTTTTTCAACAATTTCAAATTTGTAAGGAACACTGTGATCTGAAATGTTTCTTCTAACGTTTACTGTAATAATTTCAATTTTCCCTGACTTTTCTTCAAAATCTCAGTTTTCCCTGACTCATATTAAAATTCCCTGACTCTAATCTGACCTTGAAGTTTTTTCTCTGACCTAGAGCAAACCTTAACACTCTTGGTGCAACGTCGGTAAAAGCCTTCCTGCAATAGGAAGTCTTGATCAGGTCCTCAATGAAATGTTAGAATCACCCGTTGTATCATTTTTACTCATAATAAATGGTGTCAACTGTTCTTGAAGTGTTCCGCTGTTTCTTTACTCTAGAACCTTCATAAGTGCGGGTGCATGGACGGGCTGGTGTGCCAAAAGACGACAGACATTGCCATATTGCCAGGCATTAATTTCCCTCTTGAACAGTGCGTCAAGATGTGAATGTGGCTGAAAGTTGTACATGTAGATAGAGAAGTAGTTAGATTGAAGAAGACAAACCACTGTAACAAGTCAAAGACAAAATAAAACGAGGTTTTGGAAAGCCCAAAATAAGGCTGGTTGGCGTATTTGTAGAGACGGTTCTAAAATGAATAAGCGGGCAATAAGGGGTTTGGTGGACTTTACTACAAGATATATATGAGTTTTTATTTCTCTTCTCTTCGTGACCACATGGTTATACCACAGTCAGAAATGTCTAGCGTGGGGATACGCTTCACTGAGATCACGGCCGAACCCTTCTGTTTCTCGTTCCAGTTCTAACTTAAATACAAAGAGAAACTATTGTGCTAGTTGGGGACACTGTAAATAACTATACAAATATTTCAAATTGAGTATAATCTATTAAGAATCCCAACTGGTGCGAGGTTGACCAGTTGGCTATTTACTGAACGCGGTCGATGAGTTGAACCAGGAACTACCGAGAACAAAAGCAGATCTGAGCTGTAGCTAGGGTTAAGGATTTGAACCAGGGACTTCCAGATTTCCAATCCAGCGCCCTAAACCCCTCGGCCACACCACCTCCACTAAACAGGGAATTTTGTTGTTCTTTTTTTCTTTTTACTTGTTACATACACTGGTTACAATACCTATACGGCTACTTACACTACTTACAAGGTTAACACATAAACTTACATTACTTATAACACTTCTTATTCAATGTGATTAATTCCGTCACTTAAAATACTAAGGCTTACACTACTTATATTACTCACAATGCAATACACAAACTACTTACAATACAATACGATCACTTACGCTACTTACAGTACAGTACGATAACTCATGCTGCATACAATACTAATTAACACTACATATACTGCAATACGATTACTAACGTCACTTACAATACAATTCGATTACTTATGCTACTTAAAACTTTTACACGTATTTGCATTATTGCATTACTAAACATAGAATTAAGTAGTTTACTGGTATGAGTGACTTTGGTGCTTTGGCGGAGCTTTCAAGTTTTTGGGTAAGAAAAAATTAACATTTCCATTGACAATCTTTTTGGCTACAAGCGCGGTAGTTTATTTTTAATTTGTAACAATGTAAGCTAAGCGTAAGTTGGAAAAACATGCAAAGTATTATTCCTTACACAAATGCACTAAATAACATCAAAAAGTACAGGGAAATAAACTGGTAAATGCAGAGTGTAGTTGTTTCCTATTTAGGTCTAAAAATGTTACAAAGCAGTGCGAGACAATACTACTGTCAATTGTCTGATGCCTTTCCCTTGAACGAAAAAAAGCTAGAAAATTAGAATGTTACATGCATTCAGCTTCGTTCTGGCTGTCGAAGTTAAAGTTACTTAGCATATTGCAAAAACCTAACTAGCAAATAATATTTTAACTTAATGTAAGTGTTAAAAACGCGCAACCCTTTCAATGTGTGCCAGCTAAGCTTTAATTCCATATTTGAGCTTGCGACCTCGGTCTCTTTTCCATAACTCGGCGCTATTCGTTGGATCAGCACCTGACGAGGCCCGATATAAAGTCTCTTCCGATACTATGTGTATGCTCTAAAAGTAATCAAACTTGAGGAATTATGGCAGGCTCATGGCAGTATTGACAACAAGAAAGCGTGCTTTAGGGACAAGACTGTAGTGACCCTTAAAATGCCTTAGTCAGCCACACCTTTGTTTTTGTTTACATACGAGCACAGTTTGGCTAGTATATTTTATTCGGAGCATGTAGAAGGGAAAATCACTGTGAAACTACTAAAGATAATTAAACATACATTCAGGAACACAACTTACAGTAAAGCAGTAAGATTTTGCTTCACCATGCAATATCATCAATTTCGATAGCATCGAAAATGGCGGAGGCTGACTAGAGTCTTAGGGCGTCCAAATGCATTAGACACTCGTAATTTGATTTACCGCTGCTAATTTTATAATGTTTTCTTACAAACGTCTTGCATATTTGCATATTTGATGCTAGTCCATCGCAGGGCTACCCCCCAGCATTAAGTTCGCCGGTACCCATTTATACACCTGGGTGGAGAGAGGCACTGTGAGAGTTAAGTGTCTTGCCCAAGAACACAACGCAATGTCCCTGGCCAGGACTCGAACCCGCACCGCTCGATCCGGAGTCGAGCCCACTAACCTTGAGAACACCGCACCTCCCACGGCCTACCGCGTACTAAATATCACCATGCCCTAAAATACAATATAGAAGTGAAAATCCCGGATGGGGGAGGCGTTCTCTACAAAGTTCTATGCGGGGAGGCTCCGCCCCGAGGCTCAACCCCTTACTCTTTTGTATACAATTTTGACATTAAAGCTTCGCCTTTCGTATAATTTTAATTGAAAAAAGGTTCCCCTTTCACATACTTTCATAACTGGCCCTTATTATAAATAAATCGCCAAAAAGGAGGTCTTCCTTCTTGTTATTTTTATGCAGTGCCTAATAAATGAAATGATACAGCCATAAGGTGCTTGTGTTCGGAAAATTTTAATTAAACGCCCTTCAAAATAACTAAATGACAGATTTTCCTAACTTTTCATATGCCTCAACTCAATCCCTACCCTTTATTTCGGGGGGAGCCCTCCCCCTGTATAGGCCGTTATAGGGAGTACTATCCCCGGGAGGGGGATCAAAATGCGGGAGGGGATTAGAATGCGGGAGGAATTTCTGTGCACGGTTCTATTTTCTACTTCATTTTCAGTGTACATCAACGATACAATTATGATAATCGAAAGTGAACATTTTACAATTATGTCGTACATGGAGTCTCAAGATACACTACACGAAGTTGACGATTTTTTTTCTTGGCCCAAGATTCTCATTTTCTCATCAAGATTCATGTGTTTATTCTCAAGAAAGCTGCATCGCACGAACATCAGGGAACAGACGATAACATCGCGTGCAGACTCGACGCGCCAAATGAGGAAGTCTTTCACAGGCACACGCATTTCAGGGGAATATGATTTGTAGCTGCCAGGTTTGCAGTAGGCTTTCACGAGGACGCACCATAACTGGGATTCGGAGAAGACTCGCTCTGAATACGCTTCATGGGACGCGAACAAAATGCAGGGGGTAAGGAAAATTGCTTTTGCCCAGTTAGAGGCACCAAGATGTTCTTCACTGAGTTCGTAGAGGCCTGCTTCTGGCTTGATATCCCTGGAACCAGCGCCCAGGACCAGACCCTGCTTTATGATCGATTCCAGATGTCCATAACGAGTGCCGTGCCATGCAGATTCCCAGTTGCTGCAAATATCATTCCACTGGGCTCGTGTGCCTTTGTCAAGGGTACTCTGATCACGTGCGAGTTCCTTAGCTATGACTTCCCCTTGGTACTTAATAAGTTGCACACTGTGTACAAGATGCTTTCCTCTAAACTCTGCCGTAAGAGACAAAATTTTGTCTGTCGACGCGGTTTGTATCAGTCTCTGTATCTCGGGCGTGGCACTTTCGTCCAGAGCAGTCCTTCCAAACTGGTTTTTGATGTCAGTTTTCGCACCGTGCTGGAGTAAAAGCCCAACGATCTGTGCATGACCGTAGTATGCTGCACCATGAAGGGGCGTGCTACCAGTAGATTGTACTTCATTGATACATGCGCCTTTCTCTAAGAGCAACTCGCACATATCATAGAAACCTGACCTACTTGCGATGTATAGCAGTGTCCGAGAGCGCTCATCCTTATCTTGCAGAAGATCTTTTTCATACCTGATCTCGGAAGCAAGCGCTCTTGTGTGCCCACATGCTGCTAGCACGAAGTGGTCAGCCTTTGTGATGGCAAACTCGTCCAAGCCAGATTTTTGCACGTACCTGTCAGCTGTTGACGTGAGCATGTGATAGGCAACAGATGCCATTGCACTATTGTGGCGCACTGATTGGGTTATTCTCACCTTAAAAGCTTTGTCGATTTCCTCACTAGACGACACGTGAAACGAATGAAGATCCAGCACTTGCCACGGGTTTAAGGTTTCAGGAATGTCAACTCTGCCTTGTCCTGTAGCATAGTAAGATACGATGCAGCCTTTTTTTGTTCCATTAGGATAACAAGTGTCCCTCTAAAATATAACCATGACCATAATTAGAACAGAATATAGATCTAGCGATCAAGAAATTCGCGAAACCTTCCCAGGAAAGGAGTGGCAAGTGTTTACAAGTGTCGATAAACTTGAAAGGGTGGCCAACATTAACAGTTCTAACTTGAGGATCTGGTTCTGGAATCTCCGTTTTTAGCTTAATTAATTTGCATTGATGTTTCAGCTATCGTTTATTTCAAATCTACGCCAATTTTCCAGTTATCAGTAATTTTTGCATGTTAAGGTGTTTCGATCATAACAAGCACTTACAATCAGCTTTTTTACCAGACACGAGTCTTCCCTATATACGAGATATGACCAGAAATGCATGCAGTAACGAAAATGGCAGATTTGATAACATTTTGTTGACGATTTTGACCGATTTTACGAAATTTGTCAATCTGTGGGAATTTTGGCGAAGTGACGATTCTGACGAAATTTTGCCAAGATTGTTGACAAAATTATATGAGTGAATATCGCCAAAATCATCAAATTCGCCATCCTGCTAGGGCCGTCTCTGATGAGATAATTTGCATAGTTATGGCTGGCGAAAAAATCGTCAAAATCGTCAATTCCACCAAGCTGATTCCGCTTCGGCAAATTTGACTAACATTCGTTAATTTGTCGACATTCACTCAGTTTGACGAAATTTTGTCAAATCTGCCATTTTGTTATGGCGTGCATTTCTGGACAAAAGTGCTTTACTGGAGCAATGTGAAAATTACGCCAGTTATTACAAATAAATTGACGTTTGGGTAAGACATTAATTTTGCCGCGAACTAGATGTGATAGAAATAAGCTAACACTAATGTGAAACGTACGACTCGATTCACCTGAACAGCTGGTATCTCTTCTTCCTCAACAGGCCTGCTCCCCAATATTCGTTCATAAACGTGACTGACAAACCTCGCAACGAATGCCATCTGCTATTTCTGATGATGAACTACAAAAACTCTGCAAGACCTTTAAATATAAAACAAAGTTTTACTTATTATGTTGTACTCTGTTGGCGTAGAAACATGTTAAAAGTGTCGATTGTCTAAATAATCAAGGCACTGTGAGAGTAAAGTGTCTTGCCCAAGAACACACCACGATGTTCCCGGCTAGGGTTCAAACCCGAACCGCTCGATCCCTAGACGAGCGCACTAATCTTGAGGCCACAACGCCTCCCTTGGCCCTTGCACCGACAGTTTCTAAATGGCTTCTATACATTTAATTTACCTCTAGTCTCACATCAAAAGAACACTTCACCGAGGCTCAGTTTTCGACTGAACTTTCTAAAAGCTCTTAATAGTTGATCAATGAAAATTGGATGGTTTCAAACAATAAGCTACTACAAATCCATCAACGACTGGAAGAGATTGTTGGAAGTTCGCGGACCTCAAAGATATTTGCTGGCATAGACATTATTGCTGTGGGCGATTTACAACAGCAAGTTCGGCCTAGCCATTAAAAACCTTTTTTTCAATAAGCTCACGATGATAGAGCTGGCTCATATTAAAGGATGATCTTAAACGGATTTAGGGTTGTACAATACACAGAAGCCGAAATGTCCACTATTTAATCCACAATAGGGCACTAAACTGCTGAAAATTTTACGATTCTCCTTCCTTAGTGTGAATATATAAATTTTTCTGTTCATGTTACTCTAATACGCCAGACAAAACTGTTCTGGATCGACTTTTTACAACAAAAAATTAAGAGAAGCAAAGCGATTCACATAATTTTGTGATTGTCTTAACCCTTATTAAATTCCACACATGGAAAATTTATATTTTCATAGAGATCAAGCAAAGAAGAAAGAGCACAAAAACAGATGAGTGACCGACCCCTCATTTGCATATCATTCGCATAATCTGCACACCACCAATAATTTGTGACTTGCTATCGCAACTCACAAATTAAAAACCGACTTGACTATCCTAGCATTTTGTGTAAGATTTGTCGATTTCAAAGCTCAATTCTGCCTTCGCTGTAAGTTTCTATTCCGCGACACGCGATGCTCGATTCAATTTTGACAGTGGGGTGATTTCCCTGAGCCAATCACAATTTTTTGCTACGCATAGCAACTTATGGTATTGCTCCATTTTGTTGAGACAACAGATGACCTCAAATTGCTATTTTTGTGTTTTTTCGAAGTGGACAAAGGCCCACAGACCAAAACATTGACTATGTGGAAATGAAGAGGGCTCTATCCTATTGGGAAAATATAAATTGGCAAATCATTTGCCATTCCAAATTTATGTCTATTGCTTCCCTTATTCATGTTTCTAATGATCTCATACACGTAGCCAACAAAGAATTTTTTAATTTCATTTGGAAAGGAAAGGTTAAGATAGAACGGTTAGCTTTGATTCATGACATTGCTGTATGGTGGGTTAAAGATGCTTGACTTAGAATCTTTTATTCTAGGCACAAAGAACTATGTGTTTGAAGAAGTACATTGAAGATTATGCTGGTCCTTGGAAAATTTTCTTGAGTTACTATTTGGAAAAAGTAGGAGGAAAGTTAATTTTGCAGTGCCATTTTCAGGATTGTCGAAATTTGCCCATAGCTATGCCTGGGTTTTATAAATACTGCCTTGATGTATGGTCCACTCTCAAAGGGAAGGAAGTGTGTTCTTATGAAGATATAATGAATCAACTTGTGTGGAATAATAAATACATTCTGAGTGATGGTAAATCGTTATATCATGCCTTCTTTCACAGTACATGCGGGATAAGTAAAGTCAGAGATTTGGTTTCCAAAGATAATATTTTTCTAGGAAGTGAATCCTCAATGCAAAACTCCAAGTCAATATTTACTTTTAATGGGAGTGGTTAGCGCCATATTGAATGATTGCAGTTCCACCGTCAAGGAAAATGTGTTCACGTTCAGCCGCAGCCTTTCATTGAAAATTCGTTTCAAGTGCCAATAAGGGGCGAGAAGTTTGATCTTTCAAGCATCTCCTCCAAAACACTTTACAGAGAGTTCCGTTCCCGTAAAGAAATTCCTTCGACCGCTCAAGCTAAATTCCATGTAAAAGATATTAGTACCCTAACCTCTCTATCGAATGATTTTGACCATAACCCTAAGTGGGTATAGGGCCACTCTCTATCGATTGGTAAAGGGTAAAGTCATCACACGAGCTAAGTGGCTCATCAGGCCGGATCTTATCTCGGTTTCAGTAGCATGAAGCGACCAGGAGTATTTCTACTTCCCCCTGGATTGGAAAGAAATCTTTTCATTAGCCTTGAATGTTACTTTGGACACAAAGTTCACAGTACTCAATATAAATTGCTGAACCGTATCATTTTTGACAAATACATAAAAGCGAATTAGAAGATTTTTCACTCAAAGACGTTTTGTTTGGTAAATTTGATATTGATAAAGACTTTATAGTAATTAACCACATTCGTTTGCGTGCAAAGTTTTATATCTATAAGTGTAAGCTCTATAATACAAAAATATTTAGAAGTTTTTAGGGCTAAATTGAAAGCAACTCTTAACATAGAATTGTTGATTGCCAAACGAAATGGTAAACTTGTACAACATAACAAAAAGTGGGATTCATTTTTTCCCGTATTAGTATAAGCATCTCCCCTTTCTATTAAGTTCACTGGCACCAAGTTATACACCTGGGTGGAAGGAGGCACTGCGAAAGTAACGTGCCTTGCCCAAAAAGTCCCCGGCCAGGACTCGAACCCGGACCGCTCGATCCAGAGACGAGTACACTAACCGTACCGTGAGGCCACTGCGCCTCCCACCATCCCAGTAATGCTAGTGACAAAAGCTTAGTGGCACTGAGAGACAGTCTCCTC